TAAGTGTTTTATGGCGCTGGCAACTGCATAAGGTCACATGAGCGCGCGGGACACATAAAACATTTTCAGTTGGTAGGAATTTTAAAAAAACTTTAGTCTGGGTGGCTGCAGAAGCCTATTCTTATCGATTTTAGACCACCAAAAGATCTTTAACGTGCGCGACTTGCACACTGGACCTCCGAAATGTTTCACCTTTGTCCGAGAAGGCTAGAAGGTAACTTTATAAGGAACTTTGACATACAAAAGCACCCATATCTCTAGAAGTATGATATAATATAAAATGGGTTGACCCTTCGCTTGCAATTTGTTATACGGTATGCAAATATAAAGTGATATGTAATGCACCTGCATTTCTCGTGTTTTTAAGGTTTTATGTTTAGTGAATTCTGGGGATAAAGTATAAAGTTTGCTATAATTCTTTTAAAAGTCCAATATATCAACACATTGAGTAGAGGGCTATTCCACCATAACTGGTGACACTGGTCGGACATTTGGACTATACTTTCTGACAATGATAGCACTGTAATTCAATATCAATTAATTTATTTCATTGTTAAATTATCAGTACATCTGAAAGACATCTTAAGAATCATATTAAATGCAGCTATTTGAAAAAAGAAATAACTTTATGCGGAGTTTGGGACGTGTTAAATTTCGGTTACTGATGTGACAAATGAGGATTTTTACTGTCCCGCCAGTTACGGTGGAAGAGCCCTAACAAAGTAATATATACGTTAGTGAAAAAAACTATAAAAAACGACTAGTATTATAAAGGCAATAACTGGGTCATATTCACAACTATGTGGACAAAACTTTGAGTTATTAAAGTATAATCAAGTGGGCATCAAGTTTGTCAGTATGAAAAAAATCAACTTTCGTTTTCAATAAATACCAAGTTGTAAGAATTTCAACCAAAATTGAGTAAACCATAAACTCTACAACATCTGGTGTTTTTTCAAGTGAAAGTTAGTTTTTCATCCTTTGGGAATGACAGGTCTACATGAACAATCCACAAACAGTTGAACAAATTGAAACCCAATACTGAAAATGAGGTCAAACAAACAAGAGAAAGCAAACACACACACCCACACACTCACAGAAAAGATATAATATATACAGTGCATGAGTGCATAGTAAACATATGTTTGTGTGTGTGTGTGTGTGTGTGTATGTGTGTGTGTGTGTGTGTGTGTGTGTGTGTGTGTGTGTGTGTGTGTGTGTGAGAGAGAGTTTTTATTAAAATTTGTATTGATTTGATTTTTATTTTCGTTTTCTTTTTTGTTTGTTTGTTTGCTATTTGGTAGTTATGTTTTGTTTTGCTTTTTATTCAGCCAATGCATGTTTCTTTACTCTGTCTTTGGCATTGCAGGGAAACTCCTGGAAACTTGACCAGTCCGGAAAAATACATTACTGGACTGGACAAAATGGACAAATCGGACAACGGGATCACGCTACAGGCCTATAACAAACCCGCATAAACACATAAGGTGTCCAAGTCCTACTCAAAACTTACTATAAATGGATGCTGTGGTGGTCTTGCAGTATTGGACTCGTGTTGCATGGAGCCGTACCGATGGGCTTTTTTTGTGTATGTGGCGTGTCTAAAACGAATTTTTGTGTATTCAAACGTGAATTTGATGTGATTCAAATGGATTTTTAAAAAAGATATCTCAGACATTTTGAACGATTGTACTATTTTGAGGTCTTCAGTTTTTCTTGTAAAACGCCAAACAAATTATTATCAGTCTCTTAAGAGGTGTGAATTTCTTAGCAGTGCCTCTGGTAAACGTTATGAATATAAAAATGCTCATTTGAAATTTTGGATACTCTTTTGAGTGTATGCATGTAAAAATATATAGTTAGCACATTTTACGTAGTACACTGACGGAGTGAAAGTCGAGGTCGAATCGAATACAAATTGGTTTCTACATACTGAAAGGCTCGAAACATGTTCCAAAACCTTAGAAACAAGATCATGTTTTTTTGGTTTTGTTTTTTCATTTGTTCAACCTTCCAATATCGCAAATATTGTTGAAATGTATTTTTAGCAAAATTAGAAATTTAACTAAGTTTTCTGCTCTTAATATATACGCGTATACTTGTCTTTACACCCCCATTAGCACGGTTTAAATCATTTAAGGGGCCGTCTGTTTCAACCCTGCTTTTCAGGACAACAACGGGGTGAGATGATGTAGACAACGCTTGCCAACATTGCCAACCTAAAGTGAGATATAGACAAAGTCTACAAAGAAAGACCCAACAGATGATAGACGAAGACAAAGATACTCGATTAAAAAAAACCCATATACGGGCATATGACGAAGATAAACATTGGGGCTTTTTGTTTCAATATTTTTCTCAAAACGAAACAAAACACTTTTGGCAACTCTGTTTTGATCATCACCTCCCGATATTCCTGTTGCTTGCTGTCAAGTGAGACTAGACTCAGATGAGATACATTATAATAATATATGTGAGGCAGCGTGGTGGAATCAGGCTCTTGTCAATTTTTGGGCATGTAGAGTTATTGGTATCATTTTAAAGCCTGTGCACTTGCCTTTATTTGGATGAAAAGAATATCCAATTATAATGATTACAAGTCGAGATATTTACGAAAAATGGAGGCGTGGATCATCTGTTTTCAGTGGTAAAATAAGTGAGAAAATGGCCGCCAAAGAATAGTTATTTCCTTAGCTTAAGAGTCCGTGGTAACTGAAAATTTACATTTTTTTGTTTTGTCTTTAATCAACGTTTTTCAGAAAAATCCACACAAAAATGAATTCTTAAAGGTCATGAAAGGTGTTGGGCCAAAAAACACAAATTTTGTAAAAATTAACAAACCTACGGAAAAATGCAAGTTTCATTATTTTGACGAGAGCCTGACTCCACCACGTTGCCTCACATATTGTATGTAGATATGTTTTATAATTTGACATACTAGAGTAAAGTGTTACTGATCTACATGTATATCATTGGCCAGTTGTGTTGTTCAGATGTGCTCGGTTCAAAATCTTGTCATGTTCTTTTTCTGCAGTTTCTTAACCCTATCCGTACGCCCTGAGGTCATTTTGTACCCCCCTGGTTGTATTTTTCACATTTTAGAATACTTTTGATACGAAGATCTCTTTGAAACTTTCAGTATTTCTCAAGAAATAGTTTTGACAGACTTCTATGCAAAGTGTACGGATCGGATTAACGAGTAAATTTCCTTTGGTAAAGTTGTGGCACAGAGTTCCCCGCGTCGTATGGATACGAGAGTAAAACACGACGTACGGATAGGGTTAATCTTTGTTATCGGGTACATGTGCTCAAGATTCATTTGGTAGAAAATCCAGTTTTTAGATGTTTGAACAGCAAACATTTCTCCTGAATATTGTTGCTTTCTTGACATCTTGCTGATGATATTCTATATTGAGATATCCTGAAAGATGATTAATTGTTGAAGGGTTTTCCCTATCCTATTTTTGTACATCACCACGAATCATCATAGTACAGTCGCTTCCGTCATATTTTTCTTCACAGGATTCTAGTTGAGTGTAGGGTAACAATGCCAGATATTTGTATCATATCCTCAATTCAGCAAGGCCTTGTTTCATGTACTACATTTGTAAAAATCCAGCTTTTGCAACATTTTCACTTTTACCCAAGCCACAAATTTGACTTACGTGAGCACTATTTTTCTAATTATTCGCAAAAACAAAACAAACAAACAAACAAACAGCAAACAAACAAACGACAAACAAACAAACACATAAATAAACAAACAAACAAGCAAGCAAAAAATGACTCGGACATTTATGTTATGATTGTGGCGACATTGCAATATTATTATCTTTACTGTCTTTGGCTGTCTATGATGAGTGGTGCTACACGTTTTCAAGCATCGTACACTGGAAGTTAGTTTAGAAATAAATTTTAGTATTTTTTTACTATAACGCATTCCAGTTTTGATTTTTTTCTTACCTATATGTATATGTATATCTAGATCTATGTATATTTTAAAAAAATAATTTTTAAAAAAAGTATTTTTTTTTTTTTGTT